CCCTTTCCAATTTCAACTCTGAGGAGTCTCCCTACGTTTTTTTATGAACATAGCAGTAATCTCTACAGAACTAATACTCTATACAGCAACGGAACAAAATCGATAATATTCACGCAGGTGGGGTACCTGAACTGCAGCGATTCAGTGAGGGATGACGCAGCATATATGGATACGGCGGCCTGTGTGCATTGGCAATCCAAAGGAGAAGGAAGAGGCCATGTTTATGCTGTGGCCGGAGACTTGCTGGCTGACCACTTTAAACCTCAGTGTCGGGTGAAATCGGTGACACCCATAGCCTCTGATTGGGAATCAGTGGTGCCTGATGGAATAATAAAGCAAGGGTGGAATAATAAGAACCCATTTATAATTTACATAAAAAAATATCTTATAATTAGAAACGGAAACAGTTACTCCCAGGTAAAAAGTTTCTCCATTTCCATCCATTTCTTATTTCAATTATAAGATTGAAATTTAAATGGTTCATATTTAACATTTTATAAAATTATAAATAAAATGTAAATATAACAATAATTTCAATTTAAAAAAATAAAAAAAGAATAATTATTAATATATTGAAAAATGTTAAAATATACAAAACTCCCATAAAATTTTGTGTCAATTATAGAGCACCTCCCAAGCCTTTAAAAGTTTAAATTAAGAATCCTAACGTCTCTAAAAATTTATTTTGGTTATCAAAGCTCATATCATTAAAATTATTAGAGTAAAGATATAATTTTAACAATAAAATTTTGTGTAAATAACATCTGGTACCATTTAGTTTTAGAAGCCGCAGAAATAATGATAATGCAAATGTCCCACTTCGTTGAGTGATCCAAAGGTTCGTTATTTTTAATTTGGTGGATCCTACTTTGACCATCCACATCATTTATAATATTCAATCGAAATTCTACAACTGTCTTAAGTGGGTCTCATAGATTTTTGCCTCATTTCTCTTTAGTGGAGATCCCCTTCCCTACCTCCCATCTCTCATACTCATCCTTTAACATCATCTTCGACTTCTTTCTTTCCCAAACATGCCGGCCATGGCTACTAAACAAGGGAAAACAAGGTTCATAATCAAAAGCCATACAGGACAAACAATATAAATCATGACCAACCAGAGCGTTCATAATCATCATGTAACCAAAAAATTCTGTTCATAAATATTACAAAAATTACTCAATCAGATAGACCATTTTCAACTGAAGCTGAACAATTTCACGAAATACTTTTTGGGCATTAGAGCTTTGCCATTGATAGATGTACCAAGGATGAAGCCACTCTATCATGAATTAACACGAGTTATACATGAACGGCGAGATGCGTGAAGGACGAGAATGGTAAGCAGCAATGCTGGCAGGGATGGGGCTGTTGTGGGTATGATTCAGACTTCAAACTTCAACCAGTAGGATTATACCCAGAGAACACTGACTTTAACTAGCTTGGCGACGAGATGGCCACTGAGAGAGAGGGCGACCCAGGACTCTAAACCACCGAGCTATGTCTTGTTCGAAGTGGAGCGAGAAAGGGCCAAAGGAATTTTTAATAGAAGGATCAAAAGGAAAATGATTATGTTCGGTTTGGGAGACTTGGCTGGGGAATGAAGAGCAAAAGTGAGAGATGAGATGGAAGTTAGAGAAGGAGACGGTAGGCATGGAAGATGTCAGATGAGAGAGAAAGGGGGCAGGGAAAAGAAGAGGGATGGGGAGAGAATTGAAGACCAGGGACCCACATACAAAAACAAACAGACGTTTGGATCCACTAATTGAAGTGGGAAAATTGCTCTGTTTAGATGATCATTATTACATTTACACTCTCTAAAACTAAATGGTGTATGCTCTTCACGCAAAATTTTATTATTAAAATTATAATTTCTCTGAAATATACTTTTTGTGAAATATTAGATTATATAAATTAGATAAGTTAATTTTCAAAATATAAAATATAAAAAATAAAATAAATTAAAGTCTTATATTTAGAATCAAAATTGAGTCCTTAGCTAATGTTCATATTTCGGAAGGAAGGAGCATAAAATAGGTTAAAAAGGGGCCATAATATTCCGTAATACTTGGGGCCACGAAAATTCATAATACTAGACAAGAACAATGAAAATAATATATCCGTTCAAGTTTTCCAAATTGAGGATTTTGTTAGTAAACAACTCATAAGTATATGAGTCAGAAGGTATGCTTTGATTCTAATAAGTCCCATATCCAACTCACTACAAATTTTTTCTTATAAAAAACCACTCCTCCTTAGGAAAGAGAAATCTTGACCTACAAAATAAGTTAGAAGCTAAATTAGAAAGACAAAGTATTCAAAATTTTTATTAGTGCCTTGAGAAGACTAAAAGTCAAACAAGTATCTCTAATTTTCCACATGACAGTGATACTGGTTGAAAACTTTTCTCCCTTAGACATGCTCATCAGAGCCGCCTATAAGTCAAGATGAAGAAATGAGGGGGGGGGAATCATAACTTTCAACAATAAATATAAATAAAGTTGGAATCTGGTGATTTCCCTCTTGTAAAGTATAAAAAAGTCATGATATTTGATGAGGACAATTAAAATAGCTATGCCAAATTTTCCACATTGATTAATGATAAAGTTGACCCCAAATAGAATTAAGTTAGATCCATCAAAGTTAATTATAACTTTGACTAATGACCATGGAAGCAAATGACTATACCTCTAACTCCTTTCTATATCCTATGTTTGACAGAATACATCCCTTTAATGGATAAGTTCTCTACAAATTAAAATGAAAAAAATTAAAAGGGAGATAATGATATATGTCCAAAAATTAGAGCACAATGAAACTTTGTGTGAATTATGCTCTTGTGTGCTTTATGTATAGGTTTCTACTTGATTATTTGAGTAAGACCTTAAGCATTACATTGAAATTAAAGAAATGAGTAGTGACACTATTTATAATTTTTAAGTAATGCCGCGTAATACGAATTGTGTTGCATTGATTTACCCAAAAAATTAAAACTGCCAAGTCCAACGAGTGAATATTACAACAAACAATTGATTTTATTATAGAAAGAGTAATTTGAGAATAATAATATATTATTACTCAATTCAAAAGATGAGGCCTCTGGGTAAATGATTTTAAGATTCAAATCGTCCTAAGTTCCTAATGTATGGCGAGAAGTTCAAGAAGAAGAAAAGAGAAAGAAATCTTACCACAGACAATAATTTTATCAATTACTCTAATTTGACAATGATATGAAAAATATTACCATGCTAAACAGAAAACATAAGTGGCTACATGGATAATTAAAGGATTCATTTATGGAATGAACTTGAAATCTTACATTACAAATCTTTCACATTATTCTCCACAAAAGTAAAAATTGTATATGTAAAGCACCCATATAAATATTTGCTTTATATAATTATACATTATATTTTTTCATGTATGTGATGAGGCTTAATCTTAAAAGACTAACATATTAAGAGGAAAATCCTTTAAATTTATAAGTCTCACAGGCTCCCTGACGTAAGGCTCATAATGATGTACTATATATGCTTGGAAAACATATTTAACACACACACACACACACACACACACACACACACACACACATATATATATATATGATATCACCTACGTACACTTTGGTGGAAAACTTGTAGCGTGCAAGGCGTGACCCTCAATAATTACAAGTCATAAAGGGACCGGACCATAATATGGTGTAAAACTTGGGGGCACAAGAAATTATGACACTGGACAACGAAGAGAATATAAATAATGCAACGTAACAAGAACTGTGCTATACCGGTTGGCCCAAGAAAACTGCAAACTCCAACAAGTGAATATTACAACAAAATAATTGTTTTTCTTACAGAAAGAGTAATTTAAGAATAATAATGTATTATTTCTCTATTTCTTAATATAAGATCTATTTAACTAATTTAATTAGATTAAAAAAATTAGGTAAGTTAGTTATTTATAATAAATATAATTTTTTTTAAAAAAATATCCTAGTCATTTTTTTTAATATCCTCCTTCCCTCTTCTATTTGATTATGATTAAGGGAGTATTAATAAGAGGTGATTTGTGAAAAATTGATAAATATGAGAAACAATTCTTACATTTAAGACTAAGGGAGTGTTTGAATGAAATCAAAACTATAGTTTTAAAAATATTTTTACAATGTACGAAGTAAATATGTGAAGGAATTTATCCCGTTTTGTGAAAAAGTATTTCTAAAAAGCATTTTTAGGTGCTTCCAAACACTCTTTAAGGTCTGCTCTGTAATTAGATCTTATATTAAGAACGAGAAAAGTATTACACAATTCAAAAGATGAAGACTCAGGGTAAATGATTTTAAGAGTCAAATCATCCTAACGTATAGTGAAAAATTAAATAGGAGAAGAAATCTTACTACAAACAATAACTTTATCAAATTACTTTAATTTGACAATTATATGAAAAAAAAAACAATACTTACATCAAGTTCACTATATTCATTACGTTATTTTCTCCAATCACATATGACCATATGTACTATTTCTAAAATATTAATATTTAATAACATTTAATTATAAATTCACATAGAAAAGTTAGCACACATGGTTATATATTATTAGAAAACTCAATATAATATATATAAAAAATTTGATTTAAGTATTTTTTTTCCAAGAAAAATATTACATGCTGGATAGAAAACATAAATGCCTACTTGGATAATAGAAGGATTCATATATGGAATGAAGTTGAAATTTTACATTACAAATCTTCCGAATTATTCTCAACAAAAGTAAAAATTATATATATTTTTTAAAGTCACTAAAAGCTTTTAGACAATATATTTAACTAGATAGCACAAAATGTCATAATATACTAGATTTATAATCACGAATTTTGCATTCTATGGTCCACTGCCTTAATTTGACAATATAATGTCATAGAGTGTCTAAAATGTTAGCATGTTGGACAGAGAGCATGAATTTTGATAATAAAAGCATTCATAAATCTTACAAAACATTCTCAATAAAAGTAAAAGCTATTGATATTTGGCAAGCCAATTACGTGTTTATGTTTATTCTAATTCATGAATCACATCTAAATCTGAATTCAAATGTCTTGCAGGAACAATGATACTTGTAGTGGTTGATGTAGTAAAATCAAACAAGGTGGGAGGCACTTTTAATTCATCTACTTCTCCTTCCAACATATGTATTACTGTTTTCATGGATGGACCACTTATAGGATACCATTGAATGCAAGAGAGTCCCACAATTGCTAGTTTCTTAGCAGTTCTGATCTCAAATTCATCTTCTATGTACATACTTACATCTCCTCCTTCAATCAAATTATGGATCCATGATGGATATAGAACTCGAAAAGTTTGTTGATTTGTGTTGACATTTCTCCTTCCACCAACCATTTCTAGGAGCAGTATTCTATAACTGTAAATATCTGGTTTGTATGACACATTTTCAAAATTTCGAGAGAAAACTTCAAGTGCAATGTATCCAAGGGTTCCCCTTGCTGCTGTCATTGACACCGTATTTTGATTTTTAGGACACAATTTAGCTAAACCAAGATGAGAAATTTTGGGACTCAAATTTTGATCTAACAACACATTGCGGGGATTGATGTCAAAGTGAAGAATCCTATAATCACAACCTTGATGAAGATATTCGATCCCTTTAGCTATAGACAAAGCTTTTTCTTGTAGCTTCGACCATCCAAGGAAATTTTCTTTGTCGTCTGGAGAAGATATGAACTTTTGTAGGGAACCATTTGAGAAAAACTCAAACAAGAGCACGATGAAAACCGTCAGCACAAAAGCCCAGCAGACGAACAACGTTGATGTGATGAATTTTGCCCATGGTTCCCACTTCATACATGAAGCCCTTACCGTCATTTCTGAATTATTGAGTACTTTGACAGCCACTTGAATATCAGTAGATAGCTTACCTTTAAACACAGTTCCATGAGCTCCTTCACCTAATTTATTCTTGAAATGATTTGTAATTCTTTTTATATCAGCATACGAGAATCTTGGGCTTGAGTGCATCATAATCCGCCAGAAACTTTTCGAGTCTTGCTTGATCATCTCCTTTCTCTTTGAAGTAGCGATATATGCCAAAGCACGCAATGAACATCAACACCAGCACAATTGAACCTGTAATTACATCGGCCCATCAATTGAACATATTCAATTTCAGTCTTAGGAGTATCCCAAAACCAAATGAGGATTAAAAAACAGAGGGGAAAAGCAGAGTCAATTATTGTCACCTGAAGTTGATATAACAACTCTCACTATCCTCCTGGTTTTGTGCTTTTCAACAATAGGTGGCTGTTACGGGAGGTGTAGCTTATTTTCTGAAAGTAGCTGTGCCGGAATCGGTGAAGCTAGTTCGATGATCTTGGTGCAGAAAATTAGGTCCCAATCTGGGAGAATTTCATTTGAGTCTACGGCAAAAAAGAGGCAAACTGATACGTTCTGTTCTGAAGGCAAGTGTAAATCATTCAAGTACTTGGCCGATGAACAATCAAAGAAAGTGACATTATTGAGGAACCATATTGGATCATAGGATGAGGAGTAAAGTTTTTGAGACATTTTTTCCCAAAAAAAAAAAGTTTTAGAAAGATTTTGGGAAGACAACCTTCCGGATCACTCGCGACTAAGAAGGGGGTTTCATATTTTACCTCCACGACATTGAGACGAACTCCAATTGACAGGAACTCAAGTGTCTCCCCATTGTAAAGGAATGGAACAGTTTCATCAATATCAGTCAATGACTGGTTCTGAGCATTCCCTTCTTTCAGAAGCAGCGCCGATAGCAGCACCTAGATTAGATTATCACCATCAACAAAAATCTGTGTGAGCAATTCATTAGAAACAAATTGTCTGAAACTTGGACTCGGGTTCCTATCTATGTGAGTTTTAAGAAATGGTTTGTGACTTGCGAAGAGGGATGAAACTGCTCTTTCAAAATCAGAGTAGGGGATGAGGGATGCAAGTTGGGCAAGGTGCTTATGGGCTTTAATACTCTACATGTGATGAAAGAAAAGACAAAGGAAAATTTTAGTGGTTAAAGAATCAGACTGGACGGGATGGTGCTTGACTGACTCCTAAAAACTGTTTCAGCCAAAGAAACTGTTCTCATAATTGGGTTTGGTTTGATCGGATTTGAACCACCTGAATTGAAATCCAGAATAAGATTAAGAACGGGAATGATCCTTAAAAGTACTTTTTTTTTTTTTACATATGTTCATAATACTTTTTTGTAAAACTAAATTTTCGTTTCAACTGCCAGTCAGTGAAAGATTGACCTTTTTGGTTCCAAACCATATCTGACCTTTAGAACACTGAAAAAGTCGTTATTCAAAGTAAAAGTCTCCCATCAATTTTGGAGGTAATAAAAAAAATTGGTCCCCTAAAAATAAAAAGAAAGTTTTAGTCCCATAAATAAATAAAGGGATAGAAGAACTGAGTTAAGAAGCAAAGGGGGACAGAGGAGACAGTCAGAGTTAAGAGGGACGTGCGGATAGATGGGCAGAGAGAGATCAGGATTATGGTGGTGGGCTTTATTGTGGCTTGCTCTGCTTCTAATGGATGGGGTTTTGAGTTCTCATCAATATCACAACAATAACTGTACTCCGTCTCGTTGCGGCATTATCACAAGCATCTCGCCTCCATTTCGTCTACGCGATGATCCTCCCAACTGCGGCCTCCCGGAATTGGAGTTAAGCTGCAAGAACAACCTCACTCTCTTTCACCTGCTTAATGGAAAATTACGTGTGCTGGAAATCAATTACGACAAGTACAGAATCCGACTCGTGGATCCTGGCATTTAGGCGTGCAATTTGTCCTCCCTCCCTCGCTATTTCTTATTCCGATCTAATTTCAGCCGTACTCCCTCCCTCAACCCCTGTCAGGAAGGTGATTACATATTCCGGCATGTGATGTATATGAAGTGCAGCGATCCGGTGAGGGAGGAGGAAAGGTTCTTTCGAGATTCAATTAACTGGGAATGACCCGCAGCCGTCGGAGCGTACGTGGATACGGCTCCTTTCGTGAATTAGGAATCCAGAGAAGGAGGAGGAGGCCAAGTTTATGTTGTGGTTGGAGACTTACAGATTCACCACTTAAAGTCAGGGTGTGAAGTGAAAATGGTGACCCCACTTGCCTCAGATTGGGATTCATTGCTACCTGCTGGAGAAAACTTCTCCTACACTGATAGTCACAGAGTGCTTTCCTATGGATTTGAGGTAGGAGTTGAGTGGGAGGAACAAGCTTGTCGTAATTGCCCAAATGAGAGTTACTGCCATTTCATCCCTGAAAATGGGAGTCTGTTTTGCCTTCTAATGGAGAGCATCCAGACGGACAGCTCCGGAATAGTATGCGCTACTCCCCGGTATCTCCTCTCCAACACTTGTCGTGAGTCCCATAACCTTTCTCACAATAATCAAATTTGAGCTGGTAAAAAAAAAAAATAACAATTCCTTTTTTATTTTATTTTTTCTGGGACAGAATATAAATCTACTTTAATTGAAATAAATGGATATTTATTTACCTGGTTATCATACCCCAATATTCAGTTAATATCATGTTTTATTGCATGGGTGATGCAGCAACGCTGTTGAAGATGGGCATATTCAGCAAAGGCAACAATTTCTCTATTAAATTTTGTGTTAATGATATATTAATATTACCAAAACTTTTGGTAACTTCATTAAAAAGGCTGACTTTTCTTTCTTTTTCTTCCCAAAAAAAAGTCATATAAAATGAAGATAATTACACAAATCATGTTGGTGTTATAGATTTTAGGAACGGCAGAATTAATAATTTTTTTTTTTGTAGAGGGAGTCGGGGAGAGACTAGAAAAATATTAAAATAGCATATTGACATTACTCAAGGGATGAGGGAAAGAAATATTTGAAGGGAAAAGAATTAAAATGTAAAATAAAATAGCGAGTATTTCAAAAAAATAACTCAAACATTTTTCCAAAACCCTAATCAGTTCCTCAATTTAACAAATCCAAAATTAATCCAAGGAGGCCAATTTGTGATTTGTCAATGTTGTGATTTACCATATTACCCCTTAAAAAAAAAATGCTAGCGACCCCATCGTTGGTGGCTGGAACTTTGGCACTCGCAGAGTGGCAGTCGTAACTCCCACAAAGTCCACGTTCTTGTGGTAAGAGGTTTACAAATGTCAACCATCCCTCAAGCATGTAAAAAGCTTCTAATCTAACAAAATTAGTCTAACTCATAATTTATATGAGGATTTTGTTAATAGACAGTTTATAAATATTTTTATAAATGTTTTTTAAACTTAGAGATATACTTTTAGCTGAGTAAATCCCGAAATTCAACTTGCATAAATGTTTCTTATACAAAAAAAAAAAACAGTAATCTATCTCATTATCCCGAAATTCCGCTAAATAAATATAAAATATTTTAAATAAATATGTATTCCACTAAGTAAATATAAAAGAAAAGTTACAGCTTTTTTCTAGCTGTTCCAATAACCTAATTAAATCACTCGCATATAGATTGGTTTTCCTGTGATCTTTTTCTGGTAGTTAAATATTTTGGTGTTGCGCCCCTCCTTGCCATTAACTTCTGGAAATTTTTCCCACAGATTATATTTACGGGATTCGAGAAGGTACGGCTGCTCTGTTATTAACTCTGAACTTGTGTTGTATTTACTTTTGTGTATCCTGATGGAGTTCAAGATGAACCATGATAAATGCCACGAGGAAAATGAAAATACTGCTCCTTCGGTCTTATTAAGATATAATTAACTAATTTGAGTGGATTAAAAATATTAATTATATTAGTTAATATGACTTTTTTTTCTAAAATATCTTGAGCATCTTTTTAATTCCTTTCCTCCATCTTTTATTTGATTATTTTTGAAGGAACATCAATGGGATTAATTTTAAAAAAACTGATAATTATATGAAATAGGTCTTATATTTAGAACCAATACTAACTCTCATATTATGGACCAGTGGACTATATCTTATTCTTAATATAAAACCCAATTGACTAATTTGAGAAGATCAAAAAAGTTAGTGGATTATTTAATTATAACATATGTTACATGATTTTTTTAAAATACTAATGTGTGTCTTTAGATTATATATAAATTTCTAAGTTAAGCAAATTAGTTTAAAAAAATAAATATAAATACTTTAAAATAATTTAGCAATTTATCTAATCTCTCCAAATTAGCCAATAAAAAGATTTTACTGGTTAACCTTTTGGTTAGATGAGTTAGCCCATTTAACCCAAATGCTTAATTATCTAAACTGAAATCAAGCCCATCTTCATTTGGGCTGAACTCCCCCTAGAACGCGCTCAGCCAAGCCATACCTTTCGGCTCTATTATTAAACCATATGTTTAACCTCATGATAGTCATTTTATGATTTTCCGAAATTTCAACACGCCTTTGCAATATCACAGCTCATGCTACAACGTCCCAATTAACATGATTGAGCAATGAAGTGCAGTACTCATTTAAAGGTCTACAAGTCTTCTAACTATGGGGAAAAGAGTTATTAAATTCCAGAGTCATTTGACCCTTGAACTCTTTGAAATTCCAAAACTGTTCAAGCAACAAAATCTAGATTTAGCTTGCCTTATTTGAGTTGCTTTATTTGCATTTGGTAGAATTTACCACATGTAACAGAGCTTATGCATCAGATTAATATGTGGAATAACTCTTTCTTCAAAATATTAAAGTTCTTCAACTAACATTCATTCTTTAAATCATTTGTTCAACAATTACTCCTCCGCTCCTAAATATAAGATCCCTTTTATAGTGTATCACTGTTCCTTATTATAGGTCACTTGTACATCAAAAGTTTGATTCAAAATATAAGTCACTTGTAGTATAATTAATGATCTTTTTCCAATTTTACCCCTATTAATTTAATAAAAAATCAATTAATTTAAGTTTGTTGCAATAGCTCCTCGAAACACATCCCTCTCCCTCTCCATCTCTCTCTCTCAACTTTTCATTTCCTATACAGTCTGTCCCCTCCCTCTCTCTCCCTCTCTCTCAACTTTTAATAAGGATAAATGTGGAAAAAACTGGTTAATTTAATGTATTTCTTGATTTGCGGGTCTGGGATACAAGTGACTTATAATAAGGAATAGAGTTAGTAATTTACACTACAAAAGAGATCTTATATTTAGGATTAGAAGAATACAATATTATATATTTGTGATTATAACATAACACCTATACAAATTAGAAACGACTAAAGCAATGGATTGCAATCCAAAATATAGTTCATAGTAACATTTATACGAGATCCTCATAAAGAAATATCAACCCACACTCTTGTACCTCTAAACTTCAAACTCATCGGACAACATGCTTCCCCTTGTCCTAAGTACTTCATGTAGCCTGGTTAGTAAAATATACTTCTCTGGTCCAAGGTATAAGACCAAAACGAGTCTTATATTTAAAACTAAAGAAGTAGTGATTTTTGGAACAAAATTTATTTAAAGTTTCTAAAAACATTCTTGAAAACATTGCAGGCAAGTCTTGTGCATTACACAAAATATGATGATGTTGACATATATATAATCTGATGTTCTGTTGGCAATATACATATATCAATATATATATATGTATAATCTGATGTTGGCGGGTTTGTGTGCACGCCAGTAATTTCATCCAAGTAGTCGCATTTTTGTGAGCGAGAAATTTAACAACCGCTTTGGAATACACACATTCGCAGGACTCCGCCAACTAGTGGGGAAGGGGTCGTCTCAATACCAGATTGACTACATTTTTAGTCTATCAAATGCTACAATCAAATTAGGAATAGTCACTGGGAGAGTAGTTTTGCCATATATCACAGTCAGGTTTTTATTTGGCGTCATATTCCTATCTGCATTGTTGATTTATACATGCCATAGAAGACACTTGTCAATGTATGAAGACATCGAGGAATTTATACGACTTCAAAACCTCACTCCAATAAGGTACTCTTACAAGGAATTAAAGAAGATGACTGATGATTTCAAGGACAAGTTAGGTGAAGGAGGCTTCGGCGTGGTGTACAGAGGAAGCCTACGAAGTGGACCTAATGTTGCTATCAAAATGTTAGGTAAATCCAAAGCTAATAGCCAAGAATTTATCAGTGAAGTGGCAACTATTGGGAGGATACACCATTTTAATGTGGTACATCTTGTTGGGTTTTGCGTGGAAGGAACAAAGCGGGCTCTTGTCTATGAATTCATGCTACATGGATCTTTAGATAAATACATTTTTTCTAAAAAAGAAAGTATCTCCTTGAGTTATTTCAAAATATATGAGATATCTCTAGGAATAGCTTATGGAATTGCTTACCTTCATTATGGTTGTGACATGCAAATATTGCATTTTGATATCAAGCCCCATAACATCCTTTTTGATGACGACTTTACACCAAAGATTTCAGATTTTGGACTTGCAAGGTTATATTCCGTTGATGATGGCATTGTAACTTTAACTGCAGCAAGAGGAACAAGAGGGTATATGACTCCTGAATTATTCTACAAGAATATTGGGGGAGTATCTTATAAGGCTGATGTTTATAGTTTTAGAATGCTTTTGATGGAAATGGCTAGTCGAAGAAGGAATTTGAATCCACATGTTGAATATTCAAGCCAACTTTACTTTCCATTGTGGATTTATGACCAATTTGACGAAGAAAAAGATATGGAAATGGA